CCTCCCCCACCCTTGAGCGGTGGGTGGGGCCATAAATTACAGTGGGGGACCACCTGCGCGGTGGGGGTCATAAAGATAATGGGGGGCGACCTGCTGTCCTACCCCCACCCCTGCGTGGTGGGGGGCCATAAATTACAATGGGGGGACACCTACTATCCTCCCCCACCCTTGAGCGGTGGGTGGGGCCATAAATTACAGTGGGGGACCACCTGCGCGGTGGGGGTCATAAAGATAATGGGGGGCGACCTGCTGTCCTACCCCCACCCCTGCGCGGTGGGTGGAGGCCATAAATTACAATGGGGGGACACCTATGGTCCTCCTCCACCCATGTGCAGTGGGTGGGGGCCATAAATTACAATGGGGGGGACCTACTGTCCTCCGCCCTTCCCTCCCGGGCTGTGGGTGGGGGCCATAAATTGCAATGGGGGGATGACCTACTGTAGCGCCCACTCCCCTCTCCCTGCCCCTACCCTTGAGCGGTGGGTGTGGGCCATAAATTACAATTACTTTATAAGCCTTAAGCCTTAACACCCCTGCACGGTGGGTGGGGGCCATACAATTACTTTATAAGCCTTAAGCCCCCCCCCCACCCAGCAGAGCTCAGTCTGTGTGGAGCCCTCCATGGTTGAAGATGGATTATTTGGTATTTGTCTTAGGGCTGCCGCCCAGGGGTGGGGGCCGGGTGGAGGACAGTATGTTCCCCCCTCTCCCCCCCCATTATCTTTATGGCCCCCACCCCTGCGCCGGATAGTTTTTTTTTTTTTTTTAAAGTTAGCAGCCACAAGCGCCCCGAATATAGATCGGCGGAAAAAATAGGTAATATGGGGGGGCTTAGGGGCATTTGGGGGTGACTAGGTCAGTTAGATGTAGTGGAGTCTGGAGGGGGGGGGGGTTAAAAAAAAACAAAAACAAAAAAAAAACGGGATTCGGCCATGACAGTGCCGCTTTAATGGGTTACTTTTCATATAACACACACCTCCTGCCACACTCCACTCCATCTCTGTTCTTATTTGATTTGCCCTGCTTGAGACCCGTCTGGGGCAAATCTGGTCAGTGATGTTGGCATGCTGGCTTCAGATCTAAGTGACTTCACTCCGTTCCTTCACTCCCTAGCTGGTTATAGAAACACAGGCTAGGGATTTTTCATAGCAGCCATAGCGCATGCATTCTATTTGAAGTGGTCTGGCGGCACTGTCCCATTAACTCTGTGTGTCCAATTCATCTTGTTGCAATAGTCCACCTATTGCACAGCACTATAGAATTTGTTGGCACTTTATATTATGTAAAACATTGTAGTTTTAGAGAAACTGCAACGCTTATATTGCAGGGTTAAGACTGCCTCTATTGGCTGTCTGCCAGATTGCCACTAAAGCAGGCTCTTAGGGAGCGATTGTTCATCTCAGTCTATTGTACCTCCCCTCCAATTAGCTCTCCTGGATGGTCAGGAGGGTGAAGTTGGCAGGGGAATGTGAGTAGGTGTGGCCGAACCAGAGTTGCATAGAATTGCGACCAAGTCTTGTTACAGTCCTCACGGCTCACAGGACTGTTTGGCTGACCATGAGGAGAGGTGCCTTCAGGTGGTTAGCATGAAGGAGTAGGTTATGAGAGCCAGGTCTCTTGGTGAGAAGATGGGGGATAAAACTGGATAAACATGCTCGCCACATGTCTTTTTGGGGTTGAGGTGTGGGCTGCTCCTGGTATGGACACAATTGACTGGGTGTTCCCTCACAATAGTGTCCCCTTAAAGAGCTTTAAATAACTATATATACAGCTCTCACTTTGAGCAATGCATACTGTTCATTTGACATAGAGCATCCTAGCGTTGGGAAGGTGGTATGCTTTGTTAATTTACATTATGGCTTGCAGAGACACCAATGCCATTTAAAATTCCCATAAACCTGATGAAGGTAAATTATAGCTCACTCAGCTTATGTAATATTTTATAATAGCGGTGCAAAGGGACAGTGGTCAATGAATGTCCATGGTAATAAGTTAGTTTTGTTTTTCCTCCCCTCCTATCCATTTTTTTTTTGTTTGTTTGTTTATTGTTTTCATCAAAGGTCAGGATTAAAGGGGGTACAGAAGAAAAATAGGGATATTCACAAGTATAACATAGTAGGGATTGGTAACATTCCATGCACCTGTTAAACCTTACATTTCTTTCCATGTTACTGTGTTGCGCTTGTGGTATATGGTTCTGGATAGGTATGACGGAGCAGGGAGGTATTAGGGAGAGGTGGGTGGGGGCGTGTCCTGCTACATTCCAAATCATGTATTAATCGCATTTAGATAAGTCTCTCGTGGCTACGTATGGTTTTCTTAGGTTCCCTACACCTAGGGTGGAATTCCCTATGTGGGGGTTTTCCAGAAATTGAGCCATGAGTCCCAGGTTTTGAGATATCTATCCCTCTTCCCCAGAGTCGACCAATGAAACTCTTCCAGTTCCCTTGACCTTTCCACCTGTTGTACCCATTGTTACCTAGATGGTAAGTTGGTTTGTTGCCAGAACATTGGGATAAGGGCATTGGCTTCCTCTGAGTATGTTCAGGAGTTGCTGTTTGGTTGTTTCTTTGCATGATCGGGGCATCCCAGTAGTACCTTGCTGTTAGCCTGTCTGGGCCAGGGCTCTTGCGTTTTGGCATTGTTTTAATAGCTAAGGCGAACTCTGCATGGGAGAATGGCACATGGCATGTGCGGCTTCATCTGTGATCTTGGAGGGGAGGTTGGTAGTCAGGTATTCTTGGATGTTGAGGGGAGTTCCCTCTGGAGGTGGGAGATTATAAAGAATATGATAGAATTCGCGGAACGCTTCGGCTATGTCGTTAGTGGTGTTATTGTTTCCCCATTCTGTC